ATTCCGCTCCACTCTTTTAAAGATTGTTTTTTTTTTCTAGTAGTTTTTTTGGTAAAAAAAATTTCCACTGTGGTGTTTCAAGCTCATTTTTTTAATTTTTTGATTTTTTTTAGTAATATTCTTACTTTTTAGAAATTTAGTTTTCGTAATTACACAAGTGCGAAATTTATACACTTTTTTTTCTGGGGATTTTTTCAATAAAAAAATTCCACAACATCCTTTTAGGCGCGTTTTTGTTTTCTACTTCTTGTTGTTTTGAGTGATATTGTAACATTTTTGGAATTTAGTTTTCGTAGTCACACCGTTGATAATTTTGTACAATTTTTTTGTTGAGGATAATTTTTAGTAAAAAAATTCCACTTGCACTCCTTTGGGCTATATAATATATTTTCTCTTTTTTTAGTAATAATTTTACATTTTTAGAATTCGGTTTTTGTAGTTACACCGGTAAGAAATTTCTACAATTTTTTGTGCTTGGATAAAGACATTCCACTGCACTTGTTTAAAGCTCAATTTTTTGTTTTTTTAGTAGTTTTGTGTTCGGGAATTTTTTTAACAAAAAACAATCCCACTATACTGTTCAAGCTCATTTGTTTATTTTTCTATTTGTTTTGAGTAATATTGCTATATTTTAGGAATTGAGTTTTCGTAGTTACACGAGTACAAAATTTCTAAAAATTTTTGAGTTGGGGAATTTTTTTAATAAAATTATTCTGCTACACTCTTTTGAGGTTGCCTTTTTATTTTTCTTGTAGTTTTGAGTAATATTGTAACATTTTTTTAATTTAGTTTTCGCTGTTACATCAGTCAGAAATTTCTACAATTTTTTGTGTTGGGTTATTTTTCAGTAAAAAAATTTCACTCCACTCTTTTAAGCTCTATATCTTATTTTCTATTTGTTTTGAATAATATCTCTACATTTTTTTAATCAAGTTTTCGTAGCTAGACCAGTTAGAGATTTCTACAACTTTTTCTGTTGGGGAATTCTTTTAATAAATAATTCAACCGCACTCTTTCGAGATCGTTTTGTTTTTTATTTTTCTATAGGTTTTGAGTAATATTTTTGCATTTTAGGATTTTAGTTTTCGTAGTGACACCGGTAAAAAATTTGTACAATTTTTTGGGTTGGGGAATTTCTTTTATGGAATTCCACTCCACTCTTTCAAAGCTTGTTTTTTTTTCTAGTAGCTTTTTTGGTAAAAAAAATTCCACTGGTGTTTCAAGCTCATTTTTTTATTTTTTCTATTTATTTTGAGTAATATTCTTTCTTTTTAGGAATTTAGTTTTTGTAATTACACCGGTGCGAAATTTATACACTTTTTTTTTGTTGGAGATTTTTTTTCAATAAAAAAAATTCCACAACACCCTTTCAGGCCCGCTTTTTTTTCTACTTCTTATTTTTTTGAGTGATATTGTAACATTTTTGGAATTTAGTTTTCGTAGTCACACTGTTCAGAAATTTGTACAATTTTTTGTGTTGGGGAGAATTTTTAGTAAAAAATTCCACTACACTCCTTTGGACTCTATAATTTGTTTTCTCTTTTTTTAGTAATAATTTTACATTTTTGGAATTTGGGTTTTGTAGTTACACTGGTAAGAAATTTTTACAATTTTTTGTTTTTGGTAAAGACATTTCACTGCACTGTTTCAAGCTCAATTTTTTATTTTTCTAGTAGTTTTGTGTTGGGGAATTTTGTAACAAAAATAAAATCCCACTACACTGTTTCAAGCTTATTTGTTTATTTTTCTATTTATTTTGAGTAATATTGCTATATTTTAGGAATTGAGTTTTCGTAGTTACACGAGTACAAAATTTCTAAAATTTTTTTAGTTGAGGAATTTTTTTTAATAAAATTATTCCACTACACTCTTTCGAGGTCACCTTTTTATTTTTCTTGTAGTTTTGAGTAATGTTTTAACATTTTTTTAATTTAGTTTTCGTAGTTACACCAGTCAGAAATTTCTATAATTTTTTGTGTTGGGGAATTTTGCGTAAAAAAAATTTGACTATACTCTTTTAAGCTCTATATCTTATTTTCTATTTGTTTTGAGTAATATCTCTACATTTTTCGAATCATGTTTTCGTAGCTAGACCAGTTAGAAATTTCTACAACTTTTTCTATTGGGGAATTCTTTTAATAAATAAATTCAATCGCACTCTTTCGAGATCGTTTTGTTTTTTATTTTTCTATTGGTTTTGAGTAATATTTTTGCATTTTAGGATTTTATTTTTCGTAGTGACACTAGGTAAAAAATTTGTACAATTTTTTGGGTTGGGAAATTTCTTTTATGAAATTTCATTCCACTCTTTCAAAGCTTATTTTTTTTCTAGTAGTTTTTTTGGTAAAAAAAATTTCACTGTAGTGTTTCAAGCTTATTTTTTTATTTTTTCTATTTGTTTTGAGTAATATTCTTACTTTTTAGGAATTTAGTTTTCGTAATTACACCGGTGCGAAATTTATACACTTTTTTTTGTGGGGATTTTTTTCAATAAAAAAAATTCCACAACACCATTTCAGGCGCATTTTTTTTCTACTTCTTGTTGTTTTGAGTGATATTGTAACATTTTTTGAATTTAGTTTTCCTAGTCACACCGTTGAGAAATTTGTAAAATTTTTTGAGTTGGGGAGAATTTTTAGTAAAAAAATTCACTCGCACTCATTTGGGCTCTATAATTTATTTTCTCTTTTTTTAGTAATAATTTTACATTTTTGGAATTCGGTTTTTGTAGTTACACCGGTAAGAAATTTCTACAATTTTTTGTCCTGGGTAAAGACATTCCACTTCACTGTTTCAAGATCAATTTTTTATTTTTCTAGAGAAGACCAAAACAAGTATGTTAAGACTAAACAACGTAAGAGACAATAGACGACCAACTCCGATAGTGGTGATCTTAACGGCACAGTGATCACCTTACCGAAACGAATTGAACCTTATGTCACCGGTCAAAAATGAAACTCCGACAACGGCTCTAGCAACTGTTCTCTGACGGTGGCGACAGTGACAACAGTGTGAACCAGTACACCAGGTAAGTTCCCAGAAAAGAGAGGTGGGTCACTAATGTACACGCTTAAATACCAAATCTTTCTTTGTCAGAACCTTCCTAGACATGCACTTTCACACTACCAAATAATATCCAGTAACAAAGATAACTTTTTTCTGATGTCGAAGATTAGTTTAACTGGCAGCAACAACGATGACGACTTTAGCAGTGGATAATGACAAAAAAAATTTAAAATAACCTTAAGCTCTAGATACCATGTTAAGGTTCCAACATAAAACCAATTGGCAATATGTGAAGTAGCCTATGCATGTATTTAAACCATACCAAATGACATGAGGTAGGTTGCTCTTCATATTAGTTCTAATCTTGTCTTTCATGAGAGGACTAAACACATTAAGATTGACTGTCATTTCATTCGAGAAAAGATTATGTCTGGAGACATCAAGACAGAGTTTGTTAACTCAAGTGATCAGTTAGCAGATATTTTTACTAAGTCTTTACGGGGGCCTAGAATTGATTATATTTGTAACAAGCTTAAAACATACGATTTGTATGCTTCAGCTTGAGGGGGAGTGTTAGATATTGTTTAGATATTGTTAACCACAATATCAAACAATATCTTTTGTTTATTTTGTTTACTTTCGGTTACTTTTTTAGTTGTACCTCTCTCTATTATAAATAGATTACCTATGTGTGATTTATACACAAGGGAGATTATCTCAAACCGTATTTTCTCTATATTCAACAAAGATATAATTTATATATTTGTCGGATGACTTACTCTCAATAAATATTAAGATGAAATTTAACTTGATATCATAATTTATACTTCTTAGTTTAGTTTATATTATTTGACATCTTATTCATTATATTTATCTTGTTGAAGGTATTGGCAATATGGAGTTATATCCCTAAAGTTTTATAATATATACATATGTTTACAATTTTGAATTTATTTAATTTTTAAATTAAATTATTAAATAATAAAATATTTTTTATCTTCTTATTTTCTAAATTATTTATTAATTATATTTTATTTGATTTTTGAAAATTAGTTGTCAAGATCCATCAAATAAATGAGTCATATATTATCTGCCTTAAAATATGACTTATAGATTTATTAGATGATAATTGTGATGGTTATACTTAATACAAACTTACTTTTCAAACAAATGTATTATTTTAGATTTTATTTTAAAATCTTAAATAATATTTGAAAACATACAATTATATTTAAATATTTTATTATTTCACTTTCAAGCTAAAAATTAAAAAGTGTATATTAAATATTAAATTTCTAAAACAAATAATTACAAAAATTGATTAATAAAAATTAATGAAATTGTAAATGCTTAAAATTTATATTTCCCTTTAGATCAAATTCTTACACTTTTATCATAAAATAATTGGTATAGCTGAAATTGTATGTAAAAAATGCTAAATTTATAAGATTAAGGGAAAAAAATAGCAAAAATAAAATTGTATGGTTAAAACAAAGAATTGACATAAAGGGAAGATAAATAACTTGTGGTGTTTCATTGTCTAAAAAAGCTAATGTTTCTTCAAAATTGAACTCTCAACCACAATCAAAACCCATCATTTCGGTAATTTTTTTTATTTTTTTTGGCAATCTCTTTCAAAATGTTCAAAAATTGTATGTGAAAACTTCATGGGTTATGTGATCATTGACATAACTCAATTGAGTTTCATTTCCAGAAATTAGGCCGTGAAGACTTTTGTCATAACCCTTGTGCATCAATGTAATCTCATCTTGTACATTTGATTTTATAGTTGACGATGATGATGAATGATGATACTTAGAATTGTAATTTATGAAATATGTATTGAATATTATGCCTTATATGCAACAATAGTTTTATTGTCTAATAGTAGTTATTCAATAAATTGTAATAAAATGATGAACTTGAAGAACTTTTAAAAGTGATTTCAAGATATAAAATAGTCTCAAAATTGGTATGTACAGATATTATCATCCATGGATATGCCTACCATTGATGTGGACCTTGGGCCTGAGAAGCTTGAAGATGAGAAACAGGGAGGTCCCTTGTTGCATTGTGATCTTTGTGATACAGAAGTAATTCACAAGTTGGCTCAAATGTTCCTGCCAGGTCTAGCCAGTGCTTGTGTTGATAACACATCAGGAGGTCTCTTTAAGACTCCTGGTTCAGTGGCTGTTGATATGAGGAAGGAGATGATAGAGTATCTGACCCAAAGAAGTGAATCGTTTGTTGCTGAGTCTGTTATTTTGGAAGGTGGTCCAGATGGTGAAGTATCAGACCATCCTTATGATATCATTTCCAATTTAGTTGATGACTTTGCAAGTTCAAAGAGAAATTTTTTAAGCCGGGTTTCAGGATGGCTTCTGAGTGAAACAAGGGAAGACAAAATAGATGATTTTGTTCAAGACATGGAAATGAATGGGTTTTGGACACATGAAAGGAGAGAAACAGTTGCAGAAACTCTACTCAAGAATGTTGACTATGAGAACTCATATCACTGCAACATGAGTTTTAATTCTGCAGAAGATCTTGCCAATCATATTGATAGTTGCAACTTTAGATCTATGATATGTGAAAATGAGGGATGCAATTCAAAATTTTGTGCATCTCATTTAGAAAAGCATGATTCAAGTTGTCCTTTCAAGATAATTCCCTGTGAACAAAAGTGTTCTGCTAACATTATGAGACGTGACATGGACAGACATTGCATAACTGTTTGTCCAATGAAGCTTGTAAAATGTCCCTTTTATGCCATTGGTTGTCGTTCCGCCGTTGCACAATGCATGATTGAAATACATCGCTCAGATGATATCAATTCTCACTTGTGGCACTTCCTTAAAGGGATCTACAAAGAAGCATCTGGGGATGATCTTAATCGACGAGTGGAGCAAATTGTACAGGTTAGTATGTGTAAACAATCACCATTGAAGCCAAAAACTTTCTCTCACAAAGCTTAATATTATTTTGTCCATAGTTGAAATTTTTAACTGTAACCAATTGAGTTTTTTTGAACATTGTTAAAGATTTCTAACATAAAACCAATTCACAATATATAAAAGAACTAACATGTATTAGAACTTAGGTTTTTAGCTCTAATGTTAAGATTCTAACATAGTGGAATTTAATATGTATAAACCATTCCACATAATATAAGGTTAGTTACGTGGGAATTCCAATAATGAGATCATAACTTTACAATATTTTTGTTTTAATTATTAGAATAACTCTATTGGTAAATGTAGAGGGAGACAGAGACCGGATTCAGAGATCATCCATTTATCTATGAACATGATTCATAATAGAACATTTTGGCATCATTTGATCCATTGCTTTGTCCTATACATAAAAACAAAAATTTTGAATTAAGATTATATAATAGGAAAATTTATTGTCATTTAAGGTATAATGAAATGAAATGAAATGACTGTCATTAAATAAAATGAATAAAGTGTATGAACAGAGAAAATATTATAAGCTTGTTTCTTTTTGTTTGTATGCATAACTTTCAATGTTCAAACTTTTCATTTCCAAATTCTAATAATGTCTAGGCTTTCCTCTTATTCCTCATTATTGTTAAAAAAATTTGGATTTCTCTGTAATATTGTCAGTTTCTAAAGTTATTATCCAAACCAGAGTTTGAGCCAAAATAATTACCTTGATTTTATCTGGGAGTTGATAGGGTTAATTTGTGTATTCAAAACATGATATTTGTTAACTTTTGTAATTTCTTACCATTAATTTTCTCTGTTGTTTAATAAGTGACACCTTATTTTATCTTATGACAAAGAGTATTCAAATGTTTCGTTTTGTGTAACAGGCATCACCAAACAACCGTTTAGCAGGGGCTAGAGATGTTAGATCTTTGAACTATGTTGTCAAGGATATTGAAGCTAAGTTAGGACCTTTCGAAGTGACTATTGTGGAGAAAGATAATGTGGAAAATGATGGCAAGAATGATGAAGGGGAAGGTGGTGAGACTAATATGAACAACAGTGAAAAGAGCACAAATGCTTTAGATATAGTTAATTCATCAGATAAAGTTGAAGTGAGTGAGACAGAGAATACAAGTGCAAATAAAACTGTCGAAAATGAAGATAGTAAACTTGCTGAAAATAAAAATCATGAAGAGAGGACACAAACTTCGAATATGACAGATTTATCAAATGAAGTTGATATTTTGAATGATGAGAACAAAGATGCTGCAACTAGTAAATTACAAATGAAGGCCATTGAAGAGAGCACTCAAGCACACAAGGACAAGTTATCAAATGAAGAAGTTACTGCAAGAAACGAGGATAGTACAAAGAATAACATCGAAGGCAAATACAATGAAGACAATAGGCAAATATCAAATGAAGAGAGTAAATTTGAAGATAAGAACAACGAACAAAGCATACATTATTCAAAAGTGGGAGTCAAAGGTGATGTGGAGAATAATTTTCAGAACAATGATATTGAGATGATAGCTTAAAAAGGAGCATACAAATTTCAGATGTGTAAAGTTTATCATATGAGATCATATGGTAATGGTAATATATCTAAACAAGCAAATATAATGAAGAATTTTATTCATACTTCCAATAGTGTTCTTGTACTAAATCTCTCTTTACATGAAGATGAAAGACAACGGGGTTTCAATTTTGCAATAACTAATGACAACGGTTCATTTTTGTTTTTGTTTAAGCTCTGGTATCATTCATTGAAAACCCATGTCTTTTTATTTTTCATGGTTACTCCCACTTTCTAGTGCAGTTTTTCTTACACTTTTATCTATGTATTTTGTAAGACTGGGTTTATTCATATTTGAGTTGTTTTTTCTAACATTAAACATCTATTACGAAAGTTAAACTATTTAGAAGGAAGAGCTACAACAATATAAAATTCTTTATTAAAAAATTTTATAATTTACTAGCTTTCACCTTATGCTTAAACTGATTATTACAATTCTATTAGAGTTCTACGATGATATAACATGGTTTTAACTTACCATGTAATGAATAATTTACTAATATTTGTATGTTTTACAACAGTTTAATTCTAATTCATAATTTTTCTTATTTAGATCATGCAAATTAAATTTTGCTTACTTTTATATGCTTTTCGTAATTTGTATATTTTTTTTTCTGGGCGAATCATTTATGTTAAGTTAAGCTTTTATAAGTCAATTTATCTCTATGTAATTGTATACAAAATTTTCTTAAAAAATGGAATTGATACGATAATAATATCTTCATGTCGTTCTCGTCATTTGTCTATTTCACATAAATAAATAATTCAAAATATATAATTAAATTAAAATTTTAAAGAATATTAATAAACACACTGTTATTCTAAAATTATCGAACAAGAGAATGGACATTTTTAATTAAATTAATGAAATACAAGATTTTACTAATATGATTTTTATCCCTGCACATTTTACATGAGAAAATCAAGTATATTTTTATTCACTTGTGTCTTTTATTTAAAAATAAAAATAAAAATAATATATATATATATATATATATATATATATATATTATTTACTTTAGTTTTTAGGAGTTAAAAAAGAAATAGGAGAAATTGTAAACTCTTACCTGTACTTGCAGTTGGAAATGTTAACTGGGAATGAGGATTAACGTCTAGACAATTGTTAATAGAAACATATTAACTAAATACACATAATAAATAATAATAAAGTTTCATTATACATTTTTTTCCATATTACTTCTATTCCACTCTTTAATAAAATAATTTATCATTACTTGTGTTTGAATAAGATGGAATCTAAAATGAAAGATGGTATCATTGTCAAGATAATAGGCTATATTAATGATAGGTCTAAAGTGTTTGAATAAGTAAGGGATGGTAACGTAGGCTAGTTTTTTGGGAAGAAATGTTGAAAATTAAGGACATTATCCTAATTATACATATTCCAATCGAACTACACTACGAGTATCTTTTCATTACATGAGCTTTTAAAAAATTAAGACATAATCTATTTTCCTTACATACTAAAAAAAGAAAGAAAGAAAAGGAGATTTTTCACTTTTTAATACCTCAATTTTTACACTTTCTTCACAAATCACCCCTCTTCCTCCTTTTCCCGGATTCATCAAACAACTTAATGGGTTTTTTTTGGACTGACAAACCAATCATTGTTATCCATGTTACATGCTCACCCTAAAAGTTATAAAAGTTACGTAATAAAAATGTGAAATGACTAATGAAAAAAGACATCCATATCCTACTTTATATATGAAAAAGAAGAAGCCAGAGTTACTTCCCTAAAATTTTCTTGATTTTTGCTGTGAATTTATTTTCAATCGTATCATGGCTCCAATTCTGATGTTTTATTTTATGCTTCAAGATTAGACTGTGTGCACATTAACATGGAATTTGGCTTCTGTGTGACGATATATTTTTTTTTTTGCTATATAGTCCCATGTTGAATACTAGTCGAAGTAATTGTTGATCTGGAGTATAAATGGGTGGCGAATGCAAATTATTAGACTGATTAATGTTGGTTAATGTTCATAAATCTGAAAAAAAAAAACAAGAGGAGCAAACTCATTCAAGCACGCTGAATCATACCATTAAGCAGGCTTGCGTTAATAATTTAGCTTTGACACTTACTTTCACAAGAAGAATCACAAAATTGAGTTCGATTTTAGTTCAACTAAGTAATATAATTGTTAGAAACATCAAGCTCCAACAACTGTGTTGAAATTAAAATAATAATACAACAGAATCCAAGGTTTTCCACGCGTAGAGAATAACCGAATAGTTTTAAGTGACATGCGGCTGGCGAAACAAATCAGAGCATTCACGAGTTTTTTTTGGGATAAAAATTATGGATTGGAATCTCAACAGTAAAGGGTTAGAATGGCATGGGTAAATCTCCTACCCAACGGGATGTTTCTCGAAGAATGGAGCGAGGATGGGAGACCTAACACGTTTTCCGCTAGGCCGGGTATTGCACATGAAATATTCTCCTTAAACAAGGCAGATGTATCAAATTCGAACAGAACAAACCCTGTCAATAGGCGCAAATGAAACCAATCTCCTATGTAACATTATAACAAATCCACATGCATTTCAATGCAAATTTAGATAAAGTTCACAACAATATAAAAGGCTAGAGGAAGTGCATTAGTCAAATCATCAAAACTGACGTACAGAAGATAATTTTAAACTTCTTAAGCTCGAACACCCTTAAGGCTAACCATGCGTGTAGATATATCGCCCTGGGGTCCCCTCAATGCAGAACCCCCTTGAGCAGTCCTCCCAGAACCTCCATATGAACCATCGTGATATCTTCCACTCTGATAGCCACCACCTGTTCCTCTTCCCATTCGGTCCCTGGAATATCCACTCCCGGCTGCTTGACCTAAAGTCATTGGCCTTCCACCACCACCACCATATCCTGCACGCCCACTGCTTTGCCTTGGCTGAGAAAGGGAAAGGTCTTGCCATCTACCACCTGAAGATGCTGTTCCACTAGCGGCGGCAGCATAGTCCTGGCCATCTCTTCGCCTTAGAGGCAGATCCAATCCACCACCACCTATCCTTGCTTCCGTTGCTCTTTCATTACTCTCTGCCAGAATAGATAATTTCTCTGTCAACAGGAATGCCAATGCCTGCAGCCTAGAGTACTCAACATCTTGGAAAACAATACACCCAGTTGGCTGGTCCCAGCTCGCATGAAGCTCCTCATTGATCATCATCCTACTGACAATGCTATGAGTACAAGAAAGAGAGAGATCAAAGATTTTTGTAAGTTGATCCAGGCTCAAGGATTCATAAGAAGAAGAGAAGGTAAAGAGGTATGTCCTCAATGCCTCCTCCTTGATTTTGTCTTTCAGCATTTCAAGCACAGCATCTCGATTTCTCACAAATTTCCATACATCAAGGGACACAATAATATCATAAGCCTTCTGGAAGTCTCCCTTTATAAGAAACCTAGAGGCAGCCATAACATGATCTCGGACATTTTCTGGTGGACCAGTGAATGTTTGCTTGTCACTAGCCTCAAGCAAGCGTCGGAAAGTCTTAGATATAACTTTGCGTTTTGCATCATGAACATTGGCTGCCATATTAGGAACTTCCAGCAGCATGGCAGATACCAGATGTACTGATTCCAGGAGCTCAAGATTGATGTGCATATGATATGGCATTTGCCGTCTTCTTTCCAACCTTTCCTGAAAGAGGATTGAAACCAGTTAACTGCAATATCAAAATGTAATTCTCACAAATACAAAACAAAAGCAAAATTTAGAAATACATGGGAGTTTACTATCCTCAAAACTATATTTATCAGCTACTTGATCAGTCGTATAAGACTGAAATAACAGGTAACTTTGGACTATTAAAAGGCACAAAGAGGAAAAGTCAGGGTCTACTGATAGTAACTTGACATTTGTAGAACTTAAAAATATAAAGATCAGTTTTCTCTGAGCGGCTGAATATCATCATGCTGAACAAATTATCATCACAACTTCACATTCCTTCATTTCTCTCTCAGATCATTTGCTACACATTCTTGACATGATGGCACTTTCTTATGAAAAGGGTTTACTCTTGATTGTTTATTATTGTGATTTGTGAACCTAATCAGTTAAACAAATTCATATAATATTCTTGTTACCAGGTATATATTATAATTAATGTTAAGGTTCCAACATAAAACCAATTGGCAATATGTGGAGTAGCCTAACATGTATTTAAACCATACCAAATGATATGAGGTAGGCGACGTGGGACTTTCAACACACCCCTCCAACAAAGCCTGCTGGACCAGGCAAAGGGTACTTTTGACCCAACTAAAGGGCAACTTTTGGCCCTTGACAATAACCGAAAAGATGTTAGGCTTTGGATCTGATACCATGTTAAGGTTCCAACATAAAACCAATTGGCTATATGTGGAGTAGCCTAACATGTATTTAAACCATACCAAATGATATGAGGTAGGCGACGTGGGACTTTCAACAATTAAGTTTCACTGAATGTCTAACTAATGACAGGGAGTGGGGATCTTGGTATTATTTTGAAATGCTTTTCAAATTTGAAAACATATATGGTATAAGCACGATTACACAAATATAAATGCATTAAATTTTTCACCTACTCTCTCTTAGTCACATCACAAGGAATGCATTGAACTCTTATCGGCACTCAAAACATATCCACCATATCATGAAGTCATTCGTAAAAAGAGAGAGGAGGACAGTACCTGCTCTGGAGTCTTCTCATGATAGCGACTTTGTGACACACCTTGGGCAAGTAACTCTTTCACCCTTCCGCCAGAGTACAGTTCAGACAGACAGCCATGTGCTTCAGAAATCAGTCCAATCCGAAAAGCGCATAAACCTAACTGTGACATAGCCCTGTTAAAAAGTATCTGCGTTGAAATGTCCATATGTTGAACACTATCTTGCAGATGACTCATAAGAAGTAGATCACGGGCAACTGAAAACTCATCAAGAAGAGCATGGTGGTATATATCACAGAGCATTGCACGTGCTTTAGTTCGCTCATCTCCGTACTTGTATATCAATGATACCAATACATCCATTATGGTCCTGCTATTATCAGGGAATGTGGGCTTCCGAGCAACAATCTCTGGGGTAACAATAAATGCAGTAGGAATTCTTGATTCCTCAAATCCTTTTGACTCCTCACTTGCCTCCCCACCATCATTTCCATCCTCTGCCAGCTCAGTCAATTTTTTCATTGCATCATAAACTTCTTGTGGTTTGTAGTAAATGAGCTCAACTCTCCTCAAGGCCACCTTAGAAGCAGCTTTGAAATTTCCAACTCTTTCGAGATATTCCTGAACATTTTGAGCAAGAACCAGAAACAAGGGCTCATCCCTGAGTCTCTCAACATAATCCCGTGTATGAGGATCTATGCACTGCAAGCTCTTGAAAAACTCAACATCAATTCTTTCTAAGAAAGCAACTAAGTTACCCCAGACCTGAATTGGTCCATTATAGTCAATCCCTTTCTGAGTTTCGTTCTCATCTGGTTCCACCGAATCATCAACCACTATGTTTGTATGCTGCACTAGAATATCAAGAATGACCAGCATGTTTAGCACACATTTTTTCCATACATTTATGGGCATATGCCCATTGAGCCCTGGATTAACATCAAATTGAGCAGAAACCACACTGAACAGAATTTCCAACTTCTGCGCAGGCGTCTTAGCAACCTTTGTTAAGAAGGTAAGCTGCTCAACCTGTTCAAATCTCCCAGTCCCCTTTCTGCCCCTAGCAGCCACAACCTCTTTGAACTTCTTGTTAACAGTGTCCCATGTGATCTCACTAGGGTCTTTCATAAATTGTCTATCCAATAGCCTATCCTTCTTGCTAAGCTTTTGGTCCCAAGGACCATCACCAGCATCTGGCTTTTCATCATCATACTGAGAGGCTTCAGAATCAGACTTTGCTTCAGGTTTCCGAAGCTGCTCCGGCTCAATAATCTCATCATCACTCTCATACTCCTCCTCGCTCTCCTCCTCTTCCTTCTCCTCCTCACTCTCGGGATTCTCCCTACACTTATTAATCAACTCCTCGTACTGCTTATTATTTTTCTTCAGCTTCTGCTTCATGGAGTTCAAAGCCTTAGCATTGCTACTACTCATCTTCTTCTTGGCATCTTTATTAGCCAAAGCCTGAGCCAAGAAATCTTCCAACATCACAAGCGCCTTGATGTAGAGATTCGGAACCTTCTCAGACTCAGTGACACGCATAACCTTCTCAAGCTGTTTGTTAATCTTATCGAAGCTCTCTTGCAAGCTCACCCAATCATTAATCTTCATGGCATTCTTCATCTGGTCAACAGTAGACGCCATCTCCTCGAAACGCTTATCTTTTGCCGACCGCACAACACGCTTCTGCCCATCGGAATCATCACTGTCACTAGCATTGTCCTGCAGGTACCTGCTAGTCACTGCTTGACTAGCAGATTCACCCGCCGTGATTTCGATCTCCTCATCATAATCACTCTCCTCCTCCTCGGAATCACTTCCGCCCTACAATTCAGTAAATAATAATAATAATAATAATAATAAAAAAACACGCTTTCATATAACTTAATTTCATCAACCTAAAGGAGCAAGCAATTAAAACATAGATTGAGAATTTCGTAACCACCTGAGTCCAGAATCTGGATGCCATCTTTTGTCAAAAGTAGCGAGTACCGTTGAGAACCTGTGAATGAACATAACGGTGTTAAATTGTAATTGTATCATGATTCATTAACAAAAAAGCATAAATTCAGACGAAAGTGTAACTATTTAGTTGCAGCAATCGTAGACGAAGAAGGACGAATGACAAACAGCAGCGTTGAATTTCTGCTTACCGCTTTTGAAACTGGTGTGTGCTCCGGAAGAGGAGAGACCAAAGCGGCTATGGATTGAAGTCGACACGAAAACACCGGTTCCTAGGGTTTGCTTTGTAATATTGGGCCGCTGGACCGAACACAATTTTGGCATTAATAAAAATAAAAGTATATAATAAAATTATGATGAATGTAGTATTACTTTATACTATTAAAAAAATAAAAATATATATAAATTTTCAACTAAAATATTTTTGGTGTTGGAAAAACTGTAATAAATGGCTTAATTCTATTGTATTCATAGAAAAAAAAAACATTTATTTTTTAGACAAAAACCTTTTTTAAAATTTATAAATAGAATAAAAATCAATTCATAACCTAGATTTCATTATACATCTTATAAATAACTTTTATTTTTTCTAATCATTATTTATCTTATTATATATTATTATCATATTAATATAATTCAGTTGTTTTGTATGAAATGGTTGTTTAACTATCATTATTCTTCTAAATATTCAACTACATGAATAAATATTCAACCTTTCATTTTCTATATTTATACAAATAATTATTTAATAAAAGATCAAATTTTGAATAATATATTAAATAAAAAATATATTTTATTGCAATACATTAAAATGCTAATAAAAATGGTTTTCATAGTCTATAAAAGAATAAATTTTATTCAGAAAATAACTAATATATAAAATTTAACAATTAATATGGTAATTAATTTTAAATTTTATAGATTTTAATTTATTATAATTTTTAATATGTAACTCACTGAACTATTTTGGATATACTTTTTGTTCCATAGCAGACAAATCTCAAACAAATACATACATAAAATTATAATTTTATTTAATTAACCAACGAAAATAACTAAGGTGAAACGCATTGGAAACCTTGCCCATTTCTTTCGAGGTTGGTGAGACTGAAATCCGAACGCGGATCCCAACAAAGTGAATAAAAAGAGGAGTTGGTTCTACCGTTTTCGCGAGTCAAGTGTGGGTCTGAATTCAGAAGAACATAAAAACCTGAATCAGCAACTCCTATCCAAAACCGGTTATCGGAGTCGAAATTTATAGATTACCAATTCGTGACTGGTAATCAGAGCAGTAAGCAAAAGCTGCGAATTTAAATTTGGTTGCATGCGAAGAACCAGAAATATGAGGCCAAACATCGTTACTGAGGTGTGATCTTATCCATTTCTCTATTTCATTCGATCTTATCGTTTCTGTCGCAATTTTGAGACTCCAGTGTCAACACTCATCGTAGTAGCTGAATTGAAAATCCTCGCTTCTGGACTGAGATCTCGAAATGACTTCATTAGTTACGGGCATTGTGTCACTTTATGTTCTGTTTTGTATGATTCTTGCAAATAAAATGAAAAAAAAAAATAAAACAAACAAACTTTTACTGCTCAATTTATAGTTCGCTGCGTTTCTGTTTGATTCGCTGATTCTATTAAGTGTTGTTGTAGAATGGTTTAGGTAGATATTTTCCTTCATTAATGTTATTCGGATTATTGTCCTTGATAATTGACACAGGCAGGGTTGCCTACTAGGATGAATCAATGGTGGGAAAGCATTCCATTTCTCACCTCTGCAGTGGTGGTTGTCTGTGGAGTCATTTATTTGGTTTGTCTTTTGGTTGGATACGATTCCTTTGTTGAGGTTTGCTTCCTGCCATCTGCAGTTGTGTCACGGTTTCAAGGTATATTTTGTTAACCAAACCTACATACAGTTCTTTAGGTGTGGTTCTTTAATTAGAATTACAATGTGTTTGAATTTGCGTGTAAGACGTGCGTAACCTTAAATTTTTGTGTCAAATTTACTAAAGACGGATAAGCTATTACCAGTTGATTCCATTAATGCAAACATTTATTACGCGGGTTATTGAAGGGAAACTCCAAATTAGAAAACAATACCCGTACACTCTGTGGTGGCCTATCCGTGCTTATCTGCGAGCAGCATGCTTTTTGGGTTGCAGGATTGCTATAAGATGGCGATCTCTTATTAGTCTCACATTGAGTAGGTTTAACTACTTCATGTGATACCTAAGACAGGCTTTTCCATCTAATGGACTTAATATTTTGAATTGAGTTCTCCTCTTGTGCTTAAGTCCTAACAATTGGTGTTTTCATTGAGAGTTTGGCTACGAGAAGGCCTACCTTTAAGTTGGATTAAGGTGCAAATAGAATACTGATAGATGAGTGAAACTGTTTCAAAGAGAAAAGGCTACCATGAGGTCAGTATGATAGAGTGAAAGCCATTGTGGACGTTGTACTTTAAAGGAACGCAATGTTAGGAATCCCGTATTTAGTAGGATGAGTTACTGTATGTGGTACTTAAGCCTTGAGCCTCTCCCATTTAATGAACTAGTTGTTTAGGTAGGACACTCTCAGATCCTGTTTGATCTTCTTTGGGCAGAAAAAAAATTGGGGTTTACCATTGACCTGGTTTCAAAATCCCTAAGTACTTCCTTTCCCCTCCTTCATTCACACTGTAGCCGTCAGGGCTTCCTTTACTCCTTCTTTGCAAAGTGCAATCATATATTCTTGATATCTCCTCTTTCTATCGTTGTTTTTGTTTCTTATTTCCTCATCTATGAATTCAAATTTCTTTATTCTTCATTCTTTTATGTACTTATGTTGGTGTGCCCTTAGCTTCTTGAAGTGGTTGGGCACCTGTGCCTCTGTGACACCCTTTTCTTTCTTACAATTTTTTTTATCTACTTGGGATACTATGTGAAAAGCACTGTTTCATGTTTATATGAAATTGATCTTACATGGTTATATGACATCAGAGAAATCAAATTATTTCATGGCTTATATTTTTTTAAAAATCAACAACTTAAATTTGTTAGTGTTATCTATTATCTCTGATGAAATGTATAAAATTTTGTAGACTGATTAGTTTTTTAATGCATGTATTATTTATTAGTATCTTGGGTAGGAATGTAGGATCTTCCTGTCCCAGTTACGATCCCATAGTTATGAGTTTCCAAACCCCTTCCCCCATGCCTAGTAAAAATTTGCCCTAAGAACCTTGACTTTTTTTCAAGTAAAATCATATTGTTCAATCAATGTTGTTAATATCTGGACTCCGGACAAGCTCTTGTACAATCATTATGGTGCTGAAAACTCAACCCATTCATATGTTGAATTGGGTTCCAGTGGTGGTCATTAAATTGGTTTGAAAGCTGCTTGCTATATATGACTATGGCTGGAAATGGATCAAATCGAGTTGAACTAACCTCGACTCGATACGAATTGGCTCATCTCGGATCTAGACTTAAGTTCAATATGAACCTTTTTTTAAGTGCAAACTTAATTCAAATTAAGCTCACAAATGGCTCGGTTCAGCTTGTAACTTGATTTGGCTTATAATTATGATTATTTAACATATATTTATTTCACACACACACATATCCTGAACCAAATGAGTCAAACTATACATTGCTCTAGTTCAACTAATTTGTAACTCTAGTTCATCTCATTTTACTCATGATCCAAGTTCAACAAATCAATTGTGATGTTGAATCTCTACTATTTTTGAGTTGGTTCGGTTTGTTGTCAGTCCTATTGGAAACTATATCTTCTAAATATTGCATGCTTAATTTCCTTTTTTTTTCTTATAGCAGACACTTCTGTTTTGTGATTGACCGTTTCTCTACTCAGCAGTATTTTTTTTACCATGCAGTTTACAGGATTTATACTTCAATTCTTTTCCATGGTTCACTGCTTCATGTTCTCTTCAACATGATGGCTTTAGTTCCCTTGGGGTCTGAGCTGGAGAGGATCATGGGATCAGTTCGCTTGCTATATGTTGTTATCTTGTTGGCTACAAGCAATGCCATATTCCATGTTGTCATAGCACTGCTGGTGGCACACAACCCTGTTCTTACATATGATTACCTCATGAATGAGTGTGCAATAGGCTTCTCAGGAGTTCTATTTTCAATGATTGTTATAGAGACAAGCTTGAGTGGAGTTCACTCCAGGAGGTTGGCTGTATAAATATTACTTTTGTGCAGGAAATTCAACACTGTGGGGAAAATGCAATTTAATATGTTAATCACCTTTTTCTTCAACATAATTTTGCAGAAACCATGTTTTGGAAGCTATTCAATATACTGAAATAGTATTATTGTTTAATCGTGTTTTCAGTATGATGCTAATGGTTATTTTGTTTAAGCACTGTGCAATTTTCACAACGTTATTCTGTTTAATTAGTATGCTTTTGCCAACCAATTCTTGTGCAATTATTTACTTCACAAGTTTTACTGAAAAGACACTATACATTCAATAGATGTGCTATGCTACATTTAAATATCATCAACTGGTAAGGCTTCACTAATTTAGTAACTTTTTCTATTTGTTCTGCAGTGTGTTTGGGTTGTTTAATGTGCCTGCCAAGTGGTGAGTATGATTTTTTATTGAACATATTTCTTGGTTTTTTTATCTTGATAATTCCCTTTTGTGATAATTGGACATATTATGTTTAGGTATGCATTCTTTTTGTTGGTAGTGTTCCAGCTTCTCATGCAAAATGTTTCTCTACTTGGACACCTTTGTGGCATTTTATCTGGGTTTGCATGTCAGACTTCACTCTTTTTCCTTTTCTGTTTTCATTTTTTTTTTTGCGACAAAGTTAAGCAATTACGCTAGTTTGATGATGTTACGCATGATGTTTCAGATACATATGGATTGTTTAATTTCCTCATACCTGGGACCACCTTTTATTCTTCCATTGAATCCTCCTCCTTGCTCGTAAGTATCTTTCTGGAATAGGCTTTTGTAGTGCATCATGATGGTAAACATTTCAATTGTTGATTACATGATATTAGGTGAATGCCTAAGGGACTGCCAAATGCATATAAAATATGTATTATCAAATGCTGTCTATTGAATCCCCACCGTGTGCAGTCTATGGATAGTTTAGTTGATGTTATTTTGAAATAGATGACTGGAATGAGACAAACTGATAGAACCCTGGAACATGAAGTTATATAATTATTCAGGTGGTTGCAGTTGTAAGGACAGAGGGTTAACTTCAGTAGTAGGGAGGTGGTTAGAAAGGAGATTCGTAGTGAGTTGTTATTAACATCTCTTTATATTTGGGAAATACCGTAGCTTAATTGTAGAAAGGACTTGCCCTCTGTTGATCAAGAAAGGAAATTCTTTCCTTTTTCCATTCAGATTTCCTTCACCAATAATAGGTTCATTAATTTTCTTTCGAGCTTGCATAGCATTCTTCAAATTGGTTTTGTGAATTTACAACACAAACCAACTTCATTATCATCTCAGACGACTTTGCCTTTTTTTAAAAAATAATCTTCTGATGTTTTATGAGTTTGTTTAATATATACTTTGCTTGAATATTAATTTACTCTAAATGTTTTAGCAACATAAGCTATTCAAGCATGCCAATAATATTCAAAGAGTTGTTCAGTTTTTAAGTGTATATTGACTCTAATTAGCACTGGAGTGATTAACATATCTGATTCGATTTGATAATTCTCCCCTTTTGGGTCTAAATGAATTCATAAAATAGACTGATGTGCTGAACAAGTTTTGATTGACTGGAATGTGAACAAACATTTTTGTATTATATCTTTGTAACTTATTTTATTTTAAAATGAAAAAAAAAAATGGAAAAGGCATCCACTAGATATTCATTCTCTGAAAATACGTGCAAAATTATATATATCACATGTAGACCTTTACTTGTGTGTATGTTGGTTCTCTGGACTTTCAGTCATCATGTGTGAGACGTCCAAAATTTATTGTTTGCACTGGTGGAAATCCTTCCGGTTATATTCCTACACATGCAAGCCAAAATTCAACAAGGTAAACACTCAATACTGTGGGGTTCACCCTAAACCATACAGATGGCACTAGATATATACTAATTTACATTTTCAAATCTATACTTTCATGGGGTAGTGGATTACTTTCTGGAAATATTTGGAGGAACCTATCATCATTGATGCCTCAAAGGGAAGTGTCTACACAGGTATGTATGTCATCTTGTCTTTTTAACTACTTTTGCTGGACTGTCAAATAATTTTGTACAATATGCTGGTGTGATTGTCATTTTTGCTTTGATCATTATGTGAACTAATGCAACTGCTTTGTTGTGTAATACTCATTCATGACAAGGGTATATGATCAACTGATTGAATCTATGTCTGTGGGGTTAATTTTATAACTGTTTGCTAGTAAGTATCCTCGCTGGTTATCTTGCTCCAATATGTGAATAATTATTATTCTGTGCATTATCTATTCATTTTATGTGCAAATGCAAAGAGTGTGCTTACAGATAGTCATTTTAAATTTGTGTCTGGATTGATACTTACCGCCTGCCATTTATTTGACAAATTATTTCTTTTCCTCTTTTTAATGTGTACTACTAGTTATTTGGAAGTCAATTACCTAGAGATTTAAGCAGCTGGCAAGTGACAAGTTTTTTTGACCTGGGATGATTCGTTTTATATGAATTAATCTTTATCTTCAACTCAATTTTCTTAAATGATTATGTTGTATCTGTTAGATTCATCAATCCATCATCCACTGTGGCCTCAGCGATTGGTATCAGAAAAAAAATATTATGTGCCTTTCTTATCTTTGAAAGTTCACTCATTAGCTGGAATATGAAATGTTAACATGGTTTTGCCTTGTTTACTTGAATGATTCAATGGGCCAGTTTGTTACAAATTAAAAAGATGTAAAGCAATATAGTGATTATTTGTGAGAGATTATTAAGAAGCTAAATTATGATTGTTTACAATTATAAAATCATTTTTTTATAATAAGCAGCTGATTTTATGGTAAAATATTCAAAATAACTTTTGATTTTAATAAGATTTTACTTTTTTTAAGCTTCTTAGTTTTTATGATGTTGAAAAGCTAAAACAAATACATGAAAAGTTAAAAGAAGTAATTATTCTCTAAAAGGAAATTATTCTTTTACAAAGAGAAGTTGTAACAACAAATGAGCTCATTATCTTTTCCATTTCAAGCTGTTTATTAACTGACTTTGGTTAATAACAACAGTTTTTATTGAGTAGTCACTAAAGTAAGGTTATGTCAAATTGAATTGAGAAGTTTTAAAGTTAAAATTATATCCCTACCTTAATGCAAGTCTTTGTCTATTAGTTTCTTTAGTGTATTCATGCCTATATTATTCTTTTGTGAGCTGGAGGCTTCGACTTATAGACATTTGATTGTATTATGTGATATGCTGCAGTCAACCCAGGACAGTAGGTTCCCTGGGAGGGGAAGGACCCTTGGTTCTAGTCAAGCTCAAACTGCTTCGGATCTTCATTCAGATTCAAATCTTCAAGCAAGACTTTTGGAGGAGGATAGTAGTCCCAATAATCCTTTAGATTCATCCACCCTTAGTAATACTCATCAGTTATCAGAAGGAAGGTATGAGAGATAGTTTGTGCATAATTGATAACTTATGTTGGTTGCTTATTTAAAGTAAAATTTTAATACGCTGACCTGAATCATCTTTTCTTTTGAAGTTTGAACCTAGCATAATACCTACAGTATTAGGCATAGAATGATAAATTCATAGTTTTTTTTCCCTGACTAGGATGACAATTTTCAACTTGAACCCAACACAAATTACATGGTTGTGAATGGGTTCCCTGTTTGACATTTAACAATAAGTTGTGCAATTATGTATAACTTCGAAACTAATATTGAAAAAACATAAGAATGAGAGTATATTTTTCTACTTTGAAGTTATAAATATGTGTTAAGGTTCCAACATAAAACCAATTGACAATATGTGGAGTAGCCTAACATGTATTTAAACCATACCAAATGATATGAGGTAGGCGATGTGGGACTTTCAACACACACCCTCCAACGAAGCCTGCCGGACCAGGCAAAGGGTACTTTTGACCCATGACAATAACCGGAAAGATGTTAAGCTTTGGCTCTGATACCATGTTAAGGTTCCAACATAAAACCAATTGGCAATATGTGGAGTAGCCTAACATGTATTTAAACCATACCAAATGATATGAGGTAGGCGATGTGGGACTTTCAACAATATGTATTCATAAATGCTCTATAAATATAACACATACTTCAGCACAATTTTAATTATAAGCTATTTTAAATCTTTTTCTACCATAAATTATATCAACCTTGGATAAATTGTAAATAAAATGCTCCATAAATAATTCAACTTATATGTCCAAAATTATTGGATAACCAGATACATTGATAATGCATGTCTAGCTTACAAGCTTATAACATCTACAGAATCACAAATACATATACAAGATTCTTTATAGCCCATTGTCCATATAATCCAGTAATATTATTAATGGATGGTTCATTGGTTTGAAAATAGGTTGTTTTTTTTTTAATAATTGTTTTACTGAAATTAAACTTATTCAGTGGTGCCAGTAACTTGGTTGTGTTAGGTTACCCGTTTAACAAACATGTGATGTTTGGGCTAGGATATAGACACGAAAGGGTCTTAACGTTAGTATAACTGGAAATGGGAATTACACAAAAGTATAATAATTATTATCAAAGCTTAGTAGATGTGTGCATGCATTGATTATTTAAGTTAAATTGCTACATTTCAAGAGGATTACGATTATGTTATTCAGAAGTTTGTGTTTCTGTATTAATGGCGTTCACTTAATTTTTTAATTCAATTTAGGCATTCAACTGATAATGTAGCTACAGCGACTGCTGGTGTTCCACAGCATCAGGTCCCTCTACATACATACCATGGCTGAAACTTCCTTATTTGCTTTTAGTTAATCTCATGGTTAATATTTGTTATTTTCCCCCTAATGCAGAGTGCAGTTGTTTCGGAAGAAGGAATTAAAAAACTTGTATCGATGGGCTTTGATAGGGTAAAAATCAGTTTGCTTATCATTTCTATGGTTAGAAAAAGGCTTGAAACTTTTTAAAACTTTCCTGTTTGTTCTTGGCTCCTTGCATATTATGCTTGCACATGTAAAAACATTTTGTTCATTCAAAGAGATCCAGTGTTTAAAGTTATTGTTGTTTGTTTGTTGTCCTTATGGGTCCTTCTCTCCTGTCTCTTAACGTCTCGTAATGAAGATCAATTTTTTTAAAACCTAATTATCGTAGAAGGAGTGATGTGGGTTAAATTTGGCTGAATAAGTCAAAGTTTGTTTGATAAGTGATATCTGTAATAAAATATCTCCACTTCAAATTATCTTTTAGGATTTAGTGCATGGTGAGATATCTTTCAGATTTGTGCATAAAATATAGTAGATTAAAGCCTACGTCTTAGTTCTATACTTTTCATGTAAATTGTCTTGGGCTGGTTTCAGACGCAGGTTGAAGTGGCGCTGGCAGCTGCTGATGATAATCTCAATGTTGCAGTGGAAATACTCATGAGCCAGCAGGTCCTAGTTAAATTTTTTTATTATCTATAATTCTTCACGTTTACATGTTTATTTTTATTTGTTTCTTTATTCTCTTATTCTTGGGCTCGTTGGCAGAGTTGAAAAGAAAGCTTCCGTTGGATTCTCAAAGAGGCTTCCCTGACACTGTTAGTTGAGTATGTTGTTCAATCAGTCACTGTCTGTTTATCTTTGGAACCTATCTACCACTAACAGTTCGTTGACACCTCATGGCCATGCTAACGCCAATTAGCAAAATTGAACATATGTAAATTATACAAGCTAATATGATGTTTAATTGAAGAAATTGTAAACATTTTGTTTTGCTTGTTTTCCTCTTGAACATGTTTATACACGTAGAGAATGCTTCTAATGCCAGTGAGGTGAGGGGGCAGCGAAACTTATATCCATTTCTAAATCGTTAATTATTGTTAAGGCTTGCAGAAAAACACAACATGGGAAAAAAAATTAATTAATTTGACTATGGATCAAAAAAATAAGATGATATTCTGGTTTAATTTATGGAAAAAAAAAATTGCCTGTTAATCACCAACATATAATAAAGAATTCTGTGGGGGACATAAACAAATCACTCGTTACTTATGGCTACTTCAATATTCTGGCGTACCAAAATACAGAAATCATGTCATAATATCTTTTTTTATTCTCTTTTCCATTTTTTTTTTCTCTTGATTTCTTTCCCTTCTGCTAAAGGAGTATAAATGAAATAAAAAAGAAGCAACAAACAGGGAGAACAAACAAAAAGGTGTATTAAAGCCCCCACATTAGAATGGAAGAAAAGGGAAGGTTGTTTTTTGTTCCAATGCTTCTTCACAAACTCACTGTCGTGGGATTCTAAACTGACCTAGGTGATCACTGAAAGTTGAAATGATAACTATTAGCATTTATTATATTTGTTTTTTCTTCAATTTTTCTCCTTGTCTTTTGTTACTAAATATAAAACTTTAACTTATATAACATAATTGAATTATTAGGTCATGTTATCATGATAATTTACGATTGGTGTATATGAGCTTATGATTTCTTCCCCCTCCCTGGTATTTTTTAAAGAAAAAATGAAACATCTTGAGTATTTTATCTTTTAGAGAAGAATTGAAGTCTATAAAATAGCTTTAATTTATTTTTTATAAGTCCTTTTAAACTTTAGCTGATTGTAAACTAAGGATATAAACGTCATTCCTCAGTTTTGTTGACTTACAATCGGCATCTCGCACCATTGACTGAACTTTCAGAGTTTTATTCTATATTGCAATTTTAGAATATTTTTAAAAATGAACAATACTATCAACAAATTTAGCACCACTCAATATTTTATAGCAGAAAATTTAGTTCAGCTGTTGACTTTTGGAAAAAATTGTATATTTCACTGAGGCTAAATAAAAATTGAATTTTAGTTGAAGCATCAATTTCCTCTCTGCGTGAGACGGATTAGAAGTGATTCGAAGAGAGTGGGTGGATTTAAAGGAAAAATGTATATGAAATTGTAAAAATAATAAGTTACTTCTTTTTCCAATACTGTGCCCGTCAAGCCTATATATTAAATCGGAGAAAAAATTGGATACAACATATAATTTTTAACAAGAGTTAGAATAAAATTGAATATTTTATTATAGGTTTAATAATTAAATTATTTTTTTTTAATTTTAAATAATTTTTTCTATTTTTAAATAATTTAAATATAAAATTCATAATAAAATATTTATTTTTATTCCTAAACAGATAATAACTTTATTTAAAGATGTTATATGTAATATTGAAAAATAATATAAAAAAGCATTATTTTTAGATTAATCTATTAAATAAATAATCTATTACTTTTAATGGATTATTTTTTTTATTAATTTATATTTATTTCTATGTTTAGATTATATGGTTAATTTATTTTTCTTTTTAATTATTTTTTAAATATGTAATCAAAGTTTTTAAATGAAAAAAAAATCATAATATAAAATGTGTAATTCGTTTTTTATGTCATTACAATTCAAGCTTGTAATAATTTTTTTATTTTTTACTTTTTTTAGTTTTATCGTATTTTTAGTATTTTTTTTAAATATGTCGTTAAAATTATAAATATTTAAAAAAATTATATTTTTTTAAAAATGATTTAGAAATCATTTTTAAATAAATTTTTAATATATTTCAAATTATAAAAAATAATTAGTTTATATTTAATCATATTTTATTTTAAATGCATATTCATTCTTATTAAAATTTATGTAAGGGCAAAACACACAATTAATATATATCATATACAAGTAGTTACCATTGATCCCATGACATAATCTCAATCTGACATGCATTGCAGAGCTCAAAAGTACTGCAGCACTAAAAATTAAAAAAAAAAAAAATCTGAGAATACACAAATGGTTTGATATAATTCCTTCACTTAATTCTTGTTACTAACAAGTCATTTTAAGTTTATTCCTAACATCGAGCCGAAGCGACGAAAAAAAAAAAAATAGTAGTCGAAACTCTAGGTATGAAACGCTGTCAATTCAGAAGCCTAAAAGTTTTAAGCCAAATCACGGAATTTCAAATTACTGGTTCAAATTAAGAACCCTAATTAGCAAACGCAAATATGTACCTGCAAGCAAGTTGCTGAAAATGACAGGGTTTGGCAAAGGGAATCTCCCAAGGGTGAAACCGCACTGATTCCAGATACACGCAGTCCCCAATTGACTTTTAGATTCGTGAATGCAGAAATGAATTCTGGATTATTTCATGCAGAAATAAGTTTTAAAAGATATTAATTGCGAGAACATATATTCTGGAAAAGTTTGTAAATTTTAGTTTATATAATTTTGAAGTCGTGTTTCTAAAATTAAAGTCAGGAAATAAGTATAATGTGGAAATAAACGATTTTACATCCAATTCATGTAACATATGATCCACAGTTTTGTATTTAACCAAATTAACCATGTGTGAAGTAAATAAAATATAACCAAGTACGTTAATACCAGATAAAATATAAATTTTAGGAATACCATATATTATTATCATGGTTGATATTCAAGTTTTCAATTGATTTTTATTTAAGCTTAAACTTTATTCACTTTTTTTGTGTTATTTTTTTAATTAATTTAATTATCAATTTTATATTATATATTTTTTATTTATTGTTATAACTAAAAAATTATAATAATTAATAAACTTGGACAAATTGATCTAGATGATTATCACGTTGAGATCTATTAGACTGATGTTATTAGAAAAATAGGAAGTTTTATTTGCAAAGACAATTTGATGCATAAATTAGTAGTAGAAGAAGGAAAATAATAATAATAATAATAATAATAATAATAATAATATAAAAGTATCATAATGAGAATTAAATAATATAGAGATAATAATAGATCTTTTATCAGAATATTTTAAACAATAAAATATACTAATTTAATATTGATTATAACTGAGTAATTAATATAAGGAATATTTTTATTATATAATAAATGACATAAATTTTTAGAAGATGTCCATAAGCTCTTAAGTTAAAATTATAATTTGAGTTAACTAGATGAGTTCATCTATGTAATTTTATTCTATTTTAAATGTGACTAAGTCAATTGGATAATTACAAATTTTTCTTGACAATTTTGTCATTCATACTTGCAAATTATAAAATATCATTAAAGTTAATATGCGATTAATTTAGAATGACCGACGTGTGCTAGATTCTATAAACAAAGTGTGTTCAATTTAAAGTTATGACTGAAATGTGTTCAATTTAAAATTATTACTCAATTATTTGAAGTAGAATATATTTTTGAAGTATATAAAGGTGGTCAAATTTAGATAGATATATGATTTTTTGATAAAATTGTATAACTTATAAATATATCTAGTAAAGTCTAATTCGATATAATTATGGTAATAATATAATTTATTACTGTTAAGGTTCCAACATAAAACCAATTGGCAATATGTGGACTAACCTAACATGTATTTAAACCATACCAAATGATATGAGGTAGGCGATGTGGGACTTTCAACACACCCCTCCAACGAAGCCTGCCGGACCAGGCAAAGGGTACTTTTGACCCAACTAAAGGGCAACTTTTGGCCCATGACAATAACCTAGGAAAGATGTTAGGCTTTGGCTCGATACCGGTTAAGGTTCCAACATAAAACCAATTGGCAATATGTGGACTAACCTAACATGTATTTAAACCATACCAAATGATATGAGGTAGGCGATGTGGGACTCTCAACAATTACCATAAATTCAACGTAGTAAGAATCAAGTTATTTAATGAACATAATAATAAAATCTCATGTCTTGACCTAATGATTATGGATCCAAAACAGAATAACCCATTAAAAAGGGAGTTAGGTTTAGGTTGCAACCAAGTTCACTAAACAAGATATATAGCTTATCAAAATCTGAAAAAATTTTGGTAGCAAAAAAATAAAATATATAATTAAAATGAATATAATTTAAATAAAACCTAGTTCTATTTTAATGTATAACGCATATAATTTGAGTTAAAATTGAATTAACTTTGTATTTGTTTAAGATAAGCTATACAGAGTCTATATTATTAACTTTTGCCTATAAATTTCATGAGTTGTATCAATTTCATTCTTAACTTTTGCCTATAAATTTCATGAGTTGTATCAATTTCATTTTTTTACACTAAATCACATTTTTTGAGAATATTAACGTATTGTGCTAGTTACGTCCAATAATGACTTGTTGCAATAATTACATTTAGTGATGACATGCTACAGTGGTTACGTCTAACGTGTTAAAATAATATTTAACAAGTTTCATTATCCCCGCCATATTTAGCTAAAAGTTAAAATAATATTTGACAAATTTCATTATCTCCACTATATTTAGCTCGGGACTAAAATAATATTTGACAAGTTTCATTACCATCACCATGTTTAGCTAGGAATTAAAATAATATTTGATGAGTTTCATTACCTCCATTATATATTAACTCGGGGTTAAAATAATATTAATAAATTTCATTATCTTTACCATATTTAACTTCGGAGCTAAGTGCAACAAATAAATGTTTTGGTAACATTTGATGACTACACCTTTTCAAGTTAGTTTTCTGCTAGGAATATATTTTTTACACTGCATAAATCTATCTTTTTGGTGTGGTTATTAATGCACTTCTATGTTTGATGATCATTTTCCTAAATAACTCATATGTCTCATTTTTGTAATGAGTTAATTATATGGACCATCTATATTTTGGATAAGCTTTCATTTTATTTTTTTTACTTAATGACTTTCTCCTATTTTCTAGAGAGAGTCAAATATCTTCTTGCATAAAATATTTTTCTGCAATATTTATATCATATCAACAAAATATAAAATAAATATTTATATCATATTTGATCATATAATGTAATACTGAAATTATATAATTATTAAAATCATAAGGTTTATATTATGATTTCTTTAAAATTATAACATTCATGTACTTTAATTTTGGTAATAAATTATATATAAAATTATAAATATATTTGAATTTGTAATATTAATAACTCGTGATGACATATTATGAATATTTGTAATGCTTAATATATTTTGCATATAATATTATTATGAAATTTAATAATACAATCATTGATAATATTGTAATGAATAATTTTTTTAATAAATATATTTTTCTCATGAACTGAAATTAATGATATTCATAAATTTAACACCATGCAATCAATAATAAATAATCAATGAAATTTATTTCAAAAAAATATATTATTATATATTAATGCATCTTATTGACATTTAAATTCACATTTAGTAAGAAATATCTACCTTGTAAAAATTTGAAAGTCAATATATCTATTTGTCATTTAAATTCACATCCGGTGAGAAATGTCTACCTTAAGAGAAAATTGTATTTTATTGCATATGATGCATAGTAATAATAATAAGTATTTTTTTTTAAATTGATCTCAATTAAGATATTTTAACGGTGATTTATTATAAATAAAATTATGATATAATGTTTTATATAACATAATAACACAGTATAATAACATGAGTGGTAAGATAATATATTTTTTTTAATCCAAAAAATTGTATGAGTAATTGGATAAAAAAAATTATTTTTCCTTTAAGAGTGAATAAATTGTAAACATGCCTTTGAAAACTTCTATGAAAATAAAATTTTAAAACTTTTTACAAATTTACAAGCATCACGACAAAAATTAAAAATATAATATTTTATCAGTGGTTAGATTTAATGATCAATAAATCATATTTGTACAATTGATGTAGGTGATTTAAGATTTTTCCTTGCATCCCCTCTCTCTCAACTAGGAATAATTAAGGCAGATAAAATGATCTCAACTAAAACTATGTTTATTATAATAGGTGAAACAAAAAAGACTTCATTATCATAGTAAAAATTTGGATTATAGTAAAAGCAACGTCTCAAAGAACTGTATTTTAAAATATATTAAGGTTACATATGTTTAATTCTATTTATAACAATTCAGAAAATTCTAAACTAGTATTGATAAAGAAAATTAGACTTTCTTATTTGGGTATATATATAACCAAGTTTCATAATAATTATTTATTCTTTTCATTTTAAGCTATTCATGTTTAAAGTTGATGTGACTCCCAACTTATGAGTTATCTTTCATAATACCTAATCAATTATTTATTTTAGATAGATATCTTTAAAAAAATAATATTTTTACCAAAAAATTAATAAAACAGTTTTTTTGCAAATAGATAAAATATTAAAATTTAAATAAAAATCAACTAAATAATATTTGAAAGAAAAGAAAGATTCATATATTCTTCTTTAATAATGTGGATTTTGTTTTTATTCACGAGTATAAATATTTTTGTTTATATAATTTAATTGGGATCTGTAAGACATTATGTAGTTTTCCTACATTCTTAATTCATTATAGAACAATACTCTACAGGATCTTTAGATTATTGATTTTCACAATTTTACATACATCAATACATGAATCATAGTAAGAAGACTAATTTTGATCTATGAGAATCTTTTCTTTGATCTTTTCGTTCTCTTATCTCCTTTTTCCCAATCTATCTCTTTGCCTTTCTTTCTCTTCTCACGCTTCGCTTTCTTGATGGTTTACCATGAAAAAACATTATGGCCAGAGACAGAACCCTAATCCCTTTTATTAACCAACGTCCATCAAGTTGGTTACCGTAAGTTGATATTTTATTTTATCTTTATTTTATTCTGACTTCACATAATAACCAATAGGTCCTCATATTTTATTAAATCACATTTGGGCTCATTATTATATTTCACATGAGTCACATAATGGAATGAATTAATTAAATTAATTCTAACATTCTCCCACTTGACTCATGTGATGTCATACGATTATGTGATTTAATACTTAAGTCATAATGTGCATTAAAGGACCTTACATAAATTGGTTCTATCATTATTCATAATTAAAGATACAACTATAACAAGAGTCATGGCGGTTACATGTCATTCAATCGACAGGCTCCCTTCCATGTACTACTATATTATCTCTTTCTCTTTAATATGACTTTATAATGAGAAGTCCATAATGGGTTCAAACATAATATCATTTTAAAAATAATAACATAATTTGTTTTCTTCATCATAATTTGCATGCATATAAATAAAGAAGAAAACACAAATTTCAGAAACTTATACGTTAAAGATCTTAGAGTGTCACAT